CCCCGACACCCAGGTCACCGATAAAAATTTCAAATGGTCACATGGCCACCCCCCTGGGGTGTGGTTCTCGGCGCCTTTCCGTTTCTATTCAAAACATGGGTTGTGACCTATCATTTTTCTCAGCTCGACGAGCAGATTACGACTGAGTAAGTAAAATTTTGAAACCACACCCCCAGGGGGTGTGGTTCTCGCTTTTTCGATGTACAAGAAACCAGCTCATGTGATATATCATTTTCATCGGCTCGACGAGCAGATTGAGTCTGCAAAACTAAAATTTAGAAACCACACCCCCAGTGGGTGTGGCTATTGGCGCTTTTTCAATTTAATCGAAACCAAATCATGTGACATATCATTTTTCTCAACCGGATGAGGGGATCTCAACGGAATTATAATAAACCGCTCTAACGTTAGAAGTAGTTCACCCTGTAATAATGATTTTAGCATGATTTTGCACCAATGGTGCAGAATTGGCAGATAAAATAGATACGCAATTTTGGCATAATTTTACATTAATGGCGCAGAATGGGCGACAGAAAATACACATAACTGTGATACAATTTTCCATCAATGGTGGAAAATAGACGAGGAAAATGCATCCATAATTTTGACATAAAATCGTTACAAATTCGAAGTAAAAATTCTAGTCATTTCTTCAGGTTCTTATGCACGTTTGGTGTGTTTTGCATCTATCTTCTCAATTCTTTGGCACCATTTTGTGTTACCGACTGTTCGGGAGCAATGGTGCTAATTTGCTAAAATTTGCACATGGGGCAAATTAATTAGCATCAATTGATGCAAAAACCTCGTGAACAGACAGACAGACGGACGGACAAGAGGAATTCAATAGCTCCCGTGCTACGCAGGGTGAGCTAATAAACCGTTGTAACGTTATAAGTAGCTCGCCCTGTAATAATGAGTTTGACATAATTTTGCACCAATGGTGCAGAATAGGCGGATAAATAAGACACGTAATTTTGGTATAATATTGCATTAATGGTGCAGAATAAGCGTGCTAAAGATATGCATAATTGTAATATAATTTTGCATCAATGGTGGAAACTAAACGATTTAAATGAGTCCATAATTTTGACATAAAATCTTAAAAAACTTGATGTCAAAATTATGGTTATTGCTTCCGGTTCTTCTCCACTTTTGGTGCGTTTTGCATCTATCCCATGAATTGTTTTGCACCATTTAGAGCCACCGATTGTTCGATATCAGTGGTGCTGATAAGTCGGTCACGAATGCCAATAACTCGCTTTATTGCGTATCAATTGATGCAAAAACTCGTTAACAGACAGACGGACGGACAGACGGACGGGCAAGAGGAATTCAATATGGTGCGTCCAACAATGATAGGACCAAGCGAATTTTTTCTGTTTCTCTGCTCACGTTATCTTGAACGAATTGATACTTGGCATGTTTCTGGAGATTATCACCCTACATTAGGACCACTTCACAGTTTTATTTTATTTTTGGTCATAGTCCCGTTCTGAGTAAAAACTCTTTTGTACGCCAATATAGGGAGAAGTTTAGGCCCAAATGAAGGTTAATCTGCCAAGGTTCGATTAATGTATGACCTTAGAAAAAATGAAAAAGGACTTACAAATTATATTTCAAAATCCAAGGCCTTTATTCGTCATAGTATTGAATTGGAAGATACATTATGGAACCCGAATTGGCCATGAGTTTCCGAAAGTGACTATGGAACAAGACTGAAGGCAAATAGTTAACCTAACAAGCCATGCAAAATTGTAAATTACAAAAATCACTAGTAATTTTTGCCAAAAATTTGTGTGTGATACGGTTCGAAATGTGCTGACGAAGTTTGCATATCCTTAATTATATAAAAACGTTGCTCAACCTACTCTTACTGATGCATATAAACGATCCAGACCTGATTTTACGAGAAATCGCATGTCCTGAGTAAAACTGAATGTGGAATAGCCCTCCCCCCTGATGCCAAAATTGGAACCTCGATGGCCCTGACCGATTCAAATATTATTGGTATGATTTGAGACACAAGCCTGAATTTTTCTAGAAGAGGCAGACTAGTGTGTGCAATTAAATCCATTAAATACATGCAGAATGCATAACAGCACAGAAATATACGATTATTATTTTTATTGGGTATGCATACTCTTTGGCTGTAGGTCAGTAACGATCTGGGAGGCCTTTGGACCAGTTTTCTTGCCGAAATTATTACTCGCCCGGACACTGGGTACTACCAGGATATACTCCAAAACAATTTGCTCCTCAATGGAACCAAGATTTGTAGGCAGGGTAGAATTCTCAAGCCAGACAAAGCAAAGTGCAGGATTCGCGGAGTAATGTAGGGTACTGTAGATGGAATACCCTTTGACTGTTGTCTTCGCCGTCGAATATACTTGACACCAGTATCATTGAGAAGGTTCGGGGTAGGTTGACATGAGTAGTTTCTAGTCAGTGGAAGTAATACAATAACGTTAAAGCGTTAGAAAAGCCAATTTTGTTATCTTTGAACCATTTTGCCCCCCTAAAGTTGATAAATTTGATTCGTCGAATCAAGAATGTAATTTTTAACGCTATTCTTTGTGATAGTGAGTTTGCTAAACAATAAATTTGTATTTGACCGCTGAATGATTGTTCGATATTAGTGGTGCTAATAAGTCGGTCACGAATGCCAATAACTCGCTTTAATGGGTATCAATTGATGCAAAAAACTGGTTAACACACAGACGGACAGACGGACGGACAGACGGACAAGAGGAATTCAATAGCTCCTCCGCTACGCAGGGTGAGCTAATAATTAGGTCGCCTCTGGTTATAGCCACCCACCAAAAAGCGAATTCCATAAAAATTCGCTTCACCACCAACTCTTCCACGTCAATTCGTGGTAGTACAAGGAAACTCAAAATTTCAAAAAGTTTGCTCCGCAACATTAAAGTTCGTAAATTGGGGTCTACAGAAAAAATTAAATAAAGTCCCCCACACCAGAGCTCCACGCCGATGACAATATCGGCGGCGGCGTGAGTAGTGAAAACCCTCGGCGGCGGCGGCGCGCCATGGCGCGCCATTATTTTATCCCTGCTTTTCAGTTAAAGATTCAAAATTATTAGGATTCTGGAATTTTTTCATGATTTTGGGTTTTTTAAAATCCCAAAAATTTTCAAAACCAAAATGCAGAAGCAAGGCTGGTCTTTTAATAGTTTCGAAAAATCAAGTTTGTAATTTAAAACATGTGCGTAGTCGATTTTTGACAGTCGTAAAAATTTAAAAACGGTAAAATACTTATAGAAAATTCTAAATTTTGGCTTAAATTTTTGAATGGCTTCCTTCCCATTGGAATCCTTCGCACGCTCAACTTCGTTCATTAGGACAAGTTAAGCATTTCGGGTATGCTGATTTTAGTTGTCGTTGTAAAATTTAAACTCAATCCAACCAAAATATGCGTGGAGCGCGTTGCTACTATTTCAATCAAAAGTAGAAAACCAGTAAGTACGCGTAGTGATAGGAGGCGAGATAAATATCCGTGTTCTCAACCACAACGTCGTTCTAATTCTAAAAAGTCCTAAGTGCACTCGATGCTTAATTCTAAATAGTCCTAAGTGCAGTCGATGCTTAATTCTAAAAAGTCCTAACGGTTCTAAAAAGTCCTAAGTCCAATATTCCACTCGGCGATAAGCGATTTAACATGCAAGTGAGATAGAGCAAATGAACAATCCCCCGACATTCCACCCACACAAGAACGATTGACATATTTGGGGTTTATGCAAGAAAGAATATAGTAGTCGACAAAAACCGGCCAAAAATTTGAGAGGATTTCGACAAATCTGGTCAAGAATATCAAAAAAGGTAGCGCAAAACAGTGGCAAAGCTCTTATGGGGATCGTCAGACAACAAATTCGCCAGATTGGGAGACAGGGGGTGTACGGACTTCATCATGCATATTTTATGCATGTCAGCCCTACTTCTATATCTGATAATGATTTCTTTGAAATTAATCCGATATTTTCGGTTTTATAGGAACTTTTGTATTGTTAACATTCAAAAGGGACCATCCTCTGTATACAAAAATTTTGTCAAAGAATCCGATTGTTCATTTTCTATTTATTTGATCCAGCCATTACCAACAATGGATGGGATAGACTCCTTGTAGGGACCTTGTTGGCGATTACTTTCTTCAAAATGGAACACCAAGATAAAAAAGATTTGCGGGAATTAGTTGTCGGAAAGGTGGAGAAATGGCTTCAAGCAAATGTGAAGGATTCCACAGTTTTGAAAAATATACAGGATTTTGTGGCATAAATATTGACGAATACCTGAATTTATATTTTCACATGACACTTATTGCTCATTTATATATCATAGGAAATGTTGTAATTAAAAGTCTAGGATTAAAATTTATGGATAATAGTATCAGTTTTAACTTAAAACTTTTAAGTACCATAATTTACTCATATTTGTAAATAAAGCTTCGAACAAGAATTTGATTGAAATAAAACTCGAGAAATTCTTATCTGCAAAATCATATGTAAAAAATATTCTTTGAGTAAAATCAATAAATAGGTATGTTGATTTTCTAGACAGAATACATTGAACAGTATTCAAGAAGGGTGAGACATGATGACAGGTATAAAGCACACATATAAAATAAGAATATACAGGGTGGGCAGAGAAGTTTGGATAAGGACGATAAATTTCAATTCCCTATTGTAATAATTTCGATTAATAAAACTAAACTTTGAGCAAAATTAACAAGATTTTGCAATTTAGTAGTTCAATCTTCATCCCGTAAAGCAGAATGAGGTTTAGGCAGTAAATTACTGAAAAAGTTGAATCATAGTTGTCAATATTGTATCGTATGAAATATGTTGAAAAGTGGGTTACATGTATGCGGAAAAGTGCTTTATTTCGCCTAAAGTTTTGTATCACTAATCAGACTTAAAATGTGTGCTTAGACATGCATCTCTTGTCTTTTTTGCCTACTCTGTATATCCCTACAAACAACGAAAAACCTGCTAATGGACATTTATCAAAGAGGTTATGTTGACTCCCAGGTAACCTTTCCATAAATATATACATAATGTTATTGACTTACCTTCAAGTCTCGTTATTAAATACGCATTAATTTACCATTAATTTGTTGTCGAAGGTAAACAGCCTACTGAAATGTTGCTTAAGAATATCGCATTTCAGAATGGGAGACTAATTTTGCACGTGTAATTCAATAATTTCTACTAACATTGCAAATTGCTAGAGACCCAGACCGGAATTAACCATACAACCGAAAATAGTTTGTATTTCAAATATTTTGAATTTGATTTTAAATATGTTGTATGCGATAATAGAAACGCTTTGTCGCCAAAATTAAAGTTCTCAGGTCTCCCCTTTAAATGATTTTTAAGTTGGAAGTTTTTTGCAAAAAACCGCGATTTTTTCTTCATTTTTGGTCAAAATGACCTGAAATTTGGCGTGAGGGTACAGTAAGAAAATAATTAATAGTGAACTTTTTTTTTGCAAATTTCGAAAAACTGTCGGAAATATTAAATATTTCCGAAAATTTGGTTTTTATTTTTTATTTTTTCAAAATTTGAAGTTTGTAAAAAATTTCTTTCGCAAATATGCCTCAAATTGCCCCATGTATGCTCCTAAAAAATTTCATAATCATAGGTTACCTGGAAGTCCCACAAAATTCTGGTACACCCCCTTCACAGCTTAAGAGGCATAATCATTTTAAAATGTTTTTTGACCATTGAGGTAAATCATATTCAATTAAATTATCATCGGATTTCCTTCAACGGAGAATTAATGCCCTTTTCCTGCTTACTTGATTTGATTATGCTTTGAGGAAAACTCTGAACTAAATAAACCGTTGTAACGTTAGAAGTAGCTCACCCTGTAATAACCATTTGGTATAATTTTATACCAATGGTACAGGATATGCGGAGAAAATGAATACGCAATTTTGGAAAAATTTTACATTAATGGTGCAGAATATGCGGAACAAAGATATATGTAATGGGAATAGAATTTTGCACCAATGGTGCAAAATTCAGGAGGGAAGAGAAACCATGATTTTGACATAAAACCTTAGCAAATTTGACGTCAAAATCATAAGCGTTTCTGACGGTTCTTCTGCACTTTTGGTGCGTTTAGCATCTATTTTCTCAATTGTTTCGCACCATTTTGAGTCTCCGATTGTGCGATATCAGTGGTGCTAATAAGTCGGTCAGGAATGCCAATAACTGGCTCTAATTAGTATCAATTGATGCAAAAAACTCGTTAACACACAGACGGACGGACAAGAGGAATTCAATAGCTCCTCTGCTACGCAGGGTGAGGTAATAATGTGGAATAAACCGTTGTAACGTTAGAAGTAGCTCACCCTGTAACAATGATTTTAGCATAATTTTGCACCAATGGTGCAGAATTGGCAGATAAAATAGATACGCAATTTTGGCATAATTTTGCATTAATGGCGCAGAATGGGCGGACAGAAGATACACATAATTGTGATATAATTTTCCATCAATGGTGGAAAATAGACGAGGAAAATGCATCCATAATTTTGACATAAAATCGTGACAAATTCGAAGTAAAAATTCTAGTTATTTTTTTTCGGTTCTTATGCACGTTTGGTGTGTTTTGCATCTATATTCTCAATTGTTAGGCACCATTTTGTGTCACTGGCTGTTCGAGACCAATGGTGCTACTAATTTGCTAAAATTTGCACATAGGGCAAATTAATTAGCATCAATTGATGCAAAAGCCTCGTGAGCAGACAGACGGACAGACAGACAGACAGACAGACAGACGGACAGACGGACGGACAAGAGGAATTCAATAGCTCCCGTGCTACGCAGGGTGAGCTAATAAAATTTAAAATTTTTCTTCGAAATAATTCCTGGAATTTCGCGTGGATATTAATTTCAAACAAAATTAAAGTATCGAACCTTAACCTAAGCACAATTTTTTAATTAATTTTCCATAAAACTTCACTTCTGACTTTCAACTATCACAATTTGAGAAATATTGAGAAATTGAGATATATTTCTGTCTGATAAATTATAAAGAAGAATGGTGCTTAGTTTTTGTAAACTTGCAATTGCACATTTTGATACAAATTTTTTTTAAATTAACACGCAAAAATTGAAACCATACCTGTTAAAAAATTATTTTCCCTCAAAATTTGTCATCCTTTTTTCTAGGGTAGTAGGGTGAGCTACTTCTAACGTTACATCATTTGCACCAATGGTGCAAAATAGCCGGATAAAATAGATACACAATTTTTGTATAATTGTGCATTAATGGTGCATAATAAGCGGACAACATATATACATAATTATAATATAATTTTGCACTAACGGTGGAAAATAAACGACGGAAAAGAAACCATAATTTTGACATGAAATCTTGACAATTAGAATTAAAAAATATAGTTATTTCTACCGGTTCTTCTGCACGTTTGGAGCGTTTTGCATCTATCCGCTCAATTGTTTGGCACCATTTTGAGTCACCGATTATTCGATACCAGTGGTGCTAATAAGCCGGTCAGAAATGCCAATAACTCGCTTTACAGACAGACAGACGGACAAAAGGAATTCAATAGCTCCCTTGCTTCGCAGGGCGTGCTAATAAATGGATCCATTCTCCAAAATATCGCGCGTTAGGTGTACCACACCCCGGCTCGTCAAGGGTAAGCGGTCCCAGCGTAGGGTATCCTGTGAGGGATCCGTAGATCGTCAGCGTATCAAATTGTATCTCTTACGGCAGGGGCTTATCAACTTCAGAACTATGTTCTTGTGATAACTAATTTTGTGGTGATCTGACCTCGTGCCGTAATGAAACTTATGCTTGGACTTGACTTGGACTTGAACTGGGAGCTCATGCTCGAACGCGACCTTAACTTAGCGACGTCGTTAATTAACGACGCCATAATTACGACAAACTATAACGACGTATGCTCATCATTTGTCGTCATGCCGTCGGAATTGTGATGTCGTTATGAGGTTAGCGACATCATCGAAAAAATCCTTAAAAAATTTTGACTTCCTTTCAATCAAAATAAACCGTTGTAACGTTAGAAGTAGCTCACCCTGTAATTATGATTTCGGCATAATTTTGCACCACTGGTGCAGAATTGGCAGATAAAATACATACACAATTTTGGCATAATTTTGCATTAATGGTGCAGAATAGGCGGAAACAAGATATACATAAATAATTGTGATACAATTTCTCGCCAATGGTGGAAAATAAACGAGGAAAATGAATCCATGATTTGGACATAAAATCTTGACAAATCCGAAGTAAAAATTCGAGTTATTTTTTCGGTTCTTATGCACATTTGGTGTGTGGTGCATCTATTTTCTCAATTGTTTGGCACCATTTTGGATCACCGATTGTTCCATATCAGTGGTACTAAGAAGTCGGTCACGAATGCCAATAACTCGCTTTAATTATCAAGGACCGCGACAAAGGTCAAAGAGCAGTTCCGTCATTTGAAGTCGGAAACCAAGAAAAAGGCCTCTGCGGCAATTAAAGCACATCACAAAACGGGAGGAGGAGAATGGGAAGAGTCGGACATGGATCAAATTGAGGAGTCGCTCGCCGGGTTCCTGGCGTGGGAGAAGAAAATGGTTCGTCTCATTGGGGTGGAAGGCATCCTTGGGATCCCAGATGGTATCGATACGTCCGACCCGTCGTCGTTCTCAACAAATGATCTTAATGAAAATGCTGAATGTTCTATTTCGCCAACTATGCTAAGCGTGTGGAAATTATAACAACTTTATAAATCTTGCCTAAATATTTTGTTATGGTTAAGGATAATGATGAATTATTTGCCATCGTCCCCAACTCATCCGTGCCAACTTCCAAGAAGAGGAAACGAAAATCAGCGGGGACAGATGAACCCTCTATTGAATTACTTAGTGTTGAGAAAGGCATTTTGGAGGAATTGAAACGCATTGGATCGGCAATGGAGGAGAGAAATCGACTCATGAAATTCAAACTGGGACTAGGTGTTCACATTCCCTTCTAAATTATGCATTAATTTGTTATGTTAATTTGAATAATTTTATCAATTAATTCAATGTTATCAAGTATAATATTTCAAGTCTCATCGTTTCGTGTTTATAACAATAAAATATTTTTTGGCTTAAACAAGATTTAACATTTCACACTAAATTTAAGCGCATGACTGGCTGACAAAATATTCAAGTAATGCACTAAATAACATAACTTTTAAGTAAATCTATCCTCTACAATTTGATCTCCTGCTCGAATTCCTTCTCGTGTGAGAGCTGTTTCCCGAAGTTGTGCTGGGGGATCTTGCGGTTCAGCGTCATCATCCTCGATATCATCGTAGGCATGATACTCTGGCAGGTTTAATTCCAATCTCAAATTGTGAAGTACAGCTATAGCTCCTATAATTCGGCACGCACGATTGGGCCGGTACATCATGCACCCACCCGTCTTATCAATCCATCTAAAAGTATTCTTCATTCATCCAATGGCGTTCTCGACAACATGACGCGTTTTCTTCTGAGAAATATTGTAACGTCGTTGTGCATCTGTGGCAGGGCGCTCAAATGGAGTAAGAAGCCAAGGTTCAATCCCGTAGCTACTGTCTCCTGATAATTGAAATTTTCCCCGTAGTGCCGAATTTTTCCAAATAAAAGAGTCATGTGTGGAGCCAGGGTACTTTGCAACGATGTCCAAAATTTTGTGCTTCGAATCAGAAATAATTTGAACGTTGAGACAGTGTTATCGCTTCCGCCCAACATACATTGGACCACTTGGGGCCTGAATGTTGATTAATGTTCCGTCCACAGCTCCAAGAACATTTGGGAAACCAGCCTTGGCGTGGAACGCTTGTTTTGTTCTTAAAATTTCGTCATCCGTAGTTGGGAACCGGATGAACGTTGGGGCATGTCGCACAATTGCAAGGGAGACATCTTGTATCACTCGACTTAATTTTGACTGTGATATTTCCGTCAATCCTTGAAGATCAAGCTGGAAAACCCCCTTTGCATAAAATCTGAAAAACATAAATAAATATTATAAAAAATATTGTTGTTACATATTTAAAGTTATAGTTCAATAATTAGTGTAACATTACATCAATTGTGGTAGTAAATTATTTTTACCTTAGTGCGGCTAGAACTTGGAGTTGTACAGGAAGGGCGTGGTTTCTGTTGGTTCGCCTTTGCAAGAATGGGGCGCATAATTCGGTAATTTTAAGAATAGAGTGGCGGGGAAACCGGTAGTCTGCTATGAGTTTGTCGTCGTCCATAGTCTCAAGAGGGTTTATTTTGGCGAGGAACACGCGACGGTGGAGGTGTTCGCGTCCTTCCGCTTGATGTTGCACGAAGTGAACAACGGCCATGATATTTTGGTAATGAGAACTACGGTTACGACAAATTTATCTCGTTTCGACAGCTATTTAAGCGTCGAAAATTTTTACAACAAATTTCATGGTCTTAACGACAGATAAAGTTATGAGCGTACGTTGGTGTCGCTACTAGCGACAAACGCTAAGGGCACATGCTCAAATGTGTCCTTAGCATTACCGACATCGCTAAAAATTATTTTGAGCATGTGTCGCTAATTTTAACGACGTCGCTAAGCTAACGACGCGTTCGAGCATGAGCTCCCAGGTCTTAAAACTGCATAAATCGTGCCAATTGTGCTTTATTTAGCTTGAAGGAAGGTAGACCCAAATGAATAACTAAAAAACTTTAATTAAATTCCTAATTTTAATTAATTTTTAGACTTGATTCGAATATTTGACGACTAGAAAAAATGGAGCTTCTAATTTGCTCGACTTCCACTTACTTGATTAACATTCACTCTCACACTCACTCGCTCGCTGACAAAGGAGGACGCGTCGTCTTTCCCACTCAAACTTTTTTCGACAATCTATTTTAAACAGACAAGAAAAGTTTTTATTGATCAGAGTGCAAATTGTATCGCAGTGTATGTATATGTTACAATTCGTATATATAAAAAAGCCTAAACGACCAGCGTTGTACACAAAATATGCCTAACTGAAAAGCGAAGAAAAATCGGGTAAAAAATCGTAGAAATCGCAGAATTAAACGCAGAAAAATCGTGGCGAAACAGAATCACGTCAAAAATAGAAGACAAAATTCCTGAAAAACATCGTTACAAATAGTACACCTCGTCAAACTCCTTTACTGGAGGAAGTGTACCCAAACTCGAGGCGACGTTTCCTCGTTGCGCGGCGAGGGAAACTCGATGGCGGAGAAAATTGTCCGCATTGAGCTGTCCAGTCGTGGAGGCAATCCTTTGCCCGATTTCTTGGATGAGGGCGAGTCCCTCCTGCCCCCATACTCCAGTCGTTTCCATGGCAACCTGGACAAAAATGTGTCTTGCAACTTTCTTCCAACGACTCCTCGGCCCACTCGGCCTTTTTCCTACTCCGCGCGTCAATTTCCATCTCATCTATTTTCTCCGCTGCGCCCCGTCGTGGAGGAAGATGGATGCCCTTGCCAACTACGACGCTACCCTTAAGGACGCGTTGGAAGGGATCCTAAACTGTACCCTCTCGGAGGCTGCATGGATGCAGTCCTCCCTACCCGTGAAGGAAGGCGGCCTCGGGGTCAGGCACGCTGTGGATATGGCGATACCGAGTTTTATTGCGTCCGCCCACAGCGTCCTGCCCCACGTAGAACGTCTCCTTCCGGGTTATCTCCATGGCAACGACATCGCCATGGCAGAGGGGGTACAGCGTTGGACGGATCTCGGCATGGCGGACCTCCCACCTGAAACCGTCAGAGGAGTCCAAGCCGCGTGGGAGCGCCCTATTCTGGACAAAACATTGTCCCATCTCTCCGATTTAGCAGTTATCCCGGAGGATATTGCCCGACTCCGGTCCCTGCGCAATAAGTACGCAGGGGTGTGGCTCAACACCCTCCCATCTCCAGAACTCGGTACCCTCCTTTCCAACGAGACCTTCCGTGTCTCCGTCGCTCTCCGCCTCGGCTGCGACATCTGCCAGCCGCACAAATGCCCGTCCGGGGCTCCAGGTTACTTCCGCGGCCTACACGGTCTCTCTTGCCGCCGGAGCGCCGGTCGTTGGTCCCGCCACGAGGCCGCAAACGACGTTATCGCAAGAGCCCTCCGATCAGCGGAGGTACCCTGCATTAGGGAGCCAGCAGGGTGCTCCACCACGGACGGCAAGCGTCCTGACGGGATGACGCTTGTGCCTTGGGCGAGGGGGAGGTCCCTCGTGTGGGATTTTACGTGCGCCGACACCTTCGCCCCAGGTCACCTTCCCGACACAGTGCGCCATCAGGGTGCTGCTGCCAGCAAGGCGGAGGACGCCAAGAAGAGGAAGTACGCCTTCTTGATGGACCGGTACATTTTTGTCCCGGTTGCCATGGAAACGACTGGGGTTTGGGGGCAGGAGGGACTCGCCCTCATCGAACAAATTGGGCAAAGGATTGGCTCCACGACTGGACAGCTCAATGCTGTCAATTTTCTTCGCCAACGAGTTTCCCTCGCCGCGCAACGAGGAAACGTCGCCTCGATTTTGGGTACACTTCCTCCAGGAAAAGAGTTGGAGGAGGTGTATTATTTGTAACCCCGTTTTTTCTGGAATTTGTCTTCGATTTTTGCTGCGTTTCTTTTTGTCACGATTTTTCTGCGTTTAATTCTGCGATTTCTGCGATTTTCAGTTAGGGATATTTTATGTACAGCGCTGGTCGTTTAGGCTTTTTTTATACACAATTTGTAACTTATACTCTGCGATACAACTTATACTCTGATCAATAAATACGCAAAAATGTGTCTGTCCATCATAGGGCTTCCCATGAGATGAGACGTCACATGAGATTCGAGATGAGACGAGATATGAGACGAGATGAGACAGAATATTTCGTCTCGGTTGAACTGAGACGAGACGTGAGATGAGATGAGACGGCCTTCATCCCATCTCGTCTCATCTCGTCTCATCTCGGTCTCGCCGAGATACCACGACACACGCTAAATTTACGAGTCGGTAAGGTTTAAGCGTTTAGATCTTTCAAAAATTTTTAACTTGTGGATAAATTTTACTATTTCTATTGCACTACGTACTGGAAAATTTATTGGTGGGCAAAACCCACTTATGAATTTGATCGCTATTTCGACACGTTCCGAGTCTCTCTTGAACAAATTGAAAGTGTGACATCCAATTTGTTGTACTTATATGGATGAACGTCAATCTCGAGTTCTCGGGGGATCCTCCTGACAACACCCACATGTTACGATGGAATGCCGTTCTAAATTTGTCACTTTAAAATCGCCCAAACAAAATATAGTATTGGATAATTTTAACTACATATTTTGATTTTCGCCGTAAACTTTTCACCACGTTTCGAAAGTAACAGATATAACTTTTACTTAACACGAAGTTTACACTCGGAATATGTATACGTAACCATTGTCGGAAATATTGAACATATTTTTCAACGGCGCATGTATTTGCCATGTCTTATGGTTATCGAGATGTCTCAGTGAGATTTGAGATGAGACGAGATGAGACCGAGATGAGATGAGACAACTACCGTCTCATCTCGTCTCGGTTTGGCTGTCTCGATAAGGATTCGAGATGGCCCGTCTCATCTCATCTCATCTCATGGGAAGCCCTAGTCCATCAGAAATGCGTACTTCTTCTTGGCGTCCTCCGCCTAGCTGGCTGCAGCACCCTGATGGCGCACTGTGTCGGGAAGGTGACTTGGGGCAAAGGTGTCGGCGCACGTAAAATCCCACACGAGGGACCTCCCCCTCGCCCAAGGCACAAGCGTCATCCCGTCAGGACGCTTGCCGTCCGTGGTGGAGCACCCTGCTGGCTCCCTAATGCAGGGTACCTCCGCTGATCGGAGGGCCCTCGCGATAACGTCGTTGGCGGCCTGGTGGCAGGACCTGGTGGCACTCCGGCGGCAAGAGAGACCGTGAGGGCTGCGGGAGAAAACTTGAGCTCCGCACGGGCATTTGTGCGGCTTACAGATGTCGCCCCGAGGCGGAAAGAGACTGGGACCCCTAAGGTCTCGTTGGAAAGGAGGGTACGGAGCTGTGGAGATGGGAGGGTGTTGAGCCAGACCCCCGCGTACTTGTTGCGCAGAGATCGGAGTCGGGCAATATCTTCCCGGATAACTGCCAAATCGGAAAGTTGGGACAAAGTCTTGTCCAGAATGGGACGCTCCCGCGCGGCTTGGACTCCTCTGACGGTTTCAGGTAGGAGGTCCGTCAGGCCGAGATCCGTCCAGCGCTGCACCCCCTCTGCCATGGAGATGGCTGGGAAGGAGACGTTCTACGTGGGGCAGGACGCTGTGGGCGGACGCAATAAAACACGGTATCGCCACATCCACGGCGTGCCTGACCCCGAGGCCGCCTTCCTTCACGGGTAGGGAGGACTGCATCCATGCAGCCTCCGAAAGAGTACAGTTGAGGATCCCCTCGAGCGCGTCATTAAGGGTGGCGTCGTAGTGGGCAAGGGCATCCATCTTTCTCGACGATGGGGCGCAGCGGAGAAAGTAGATGAGTCAAGGGATGGAAATTGACGCGCGGAGCAAGAAAAAGGCCGAGTGGGCCGAGAGACCGACGAGTCGTTGCGATAAAGTAGCCAGTTGTTGGGTCTTCATTGCCAGGACAACCTCCAGCGCTTCATTAGTGAGCGGGGAGCCCAGTAACATCGAAGGTTCGGGGGACATCAACTGAATCCCGGGGGCTACTTGCTGGAATTGCTGGAAAATGTCGATTGCCTCCTCCCGCTCCGCCCTCAGGATCCCCACTTCGCATTTGTCGTGGTTGAGGTGGAGGCCAACTTCGCCGCTCATCCTAGCAACGGTTGCTGAGCCCTCTAAGACCTTGTCCGGTGAGTCCCCCATGGCCCCATCGTCGAGGTACCACAAGTTGAGCTAGGTTTCCACCGCCTCGACGATGGGGTGGACCACAAGGGAAAAGAGGGCGGGGCCCAAAGGGTCCCCTTGTTGGCAGCCAAGTAGGGAGGGAATGGGGATCATCCCGTAGAAATGCGACGAGGGGCTGGCGAAGCACTGCGCCACGAACGGAAAAATTGACGGGAACAGGTCGCGGACAACCTTGAGAAGCGTGTCCCTCCTAATTTCGTCGAAGGCGTTCCTGAAGTCAATTTTCAGGAACGCCTATGGGGAGGTGTGCCACACCTGGTGTGGGCGTGGTTGTAGTAGATTCGGGCAGCGTGGGCGCCGTTCTCCGCTCCACCTTTGATACCCATCCCTAGTTGATGGGGGGAAAAGTGCTGGACCAACTGAGGGGTAATTCTTCCCACGACGATCTTCGCGGCTAGTCGCCGCCACGTATTCCCCACGGCGATGGGTCGAATCCCTCCCGACTTCTTCT